GATGTAGATTCAATGAAGTGTTTTCATAGAAATTGATAAGCTGGCTCTAAAATTTATATAGGAATACCTGGCATAGCCAAAACAATTTTTTGAAAAAGAACAAAACTAGAAGATTTGTAGAACCTGAATCCTTTATCAGACTGTGTGTTAACTGGCCTTAGAACAGACATATTGGTCCATGTAACAGAATAGTTGAGACTAGAACCAAAAATATATGGCTAGTTGATTTTTTTTTTTTTGACAGAGATGCCAAGGCATTTCAATAGTTCAAGAATAATCTTTTCAGTATACATTCCTGGGACAACTGCATATCCAAATTTAAAAAAAGAATTAATTCCAAGCTTTACCTCACACCTTGTATAAAAAATTAACTCCAAATGAATCATAGACCTAAATGGAAAAATTAATACTATAAAACTTCCAGAAGAAAACATAAGAGAAAATCGTTGAGATATTGGATTAGGCAAAGATTTCTTAGCTACAACACCAAATGTTCATAAAATAAATTCATAAAATTCATAAAATAAAAGATTGTTCTCTTCTAAATACATTGTTATGAGAATGAAAGCCACAGATTGGGAGAAAATATTTGCAAAACATATCAAAGGTTTGATTCCAGTATATTTAGGCAACTCTTAAATCTCAATAATAAAAAATGATGCAATAAAAATGGGCAAAAGATTTGAGTAGATAATTTACCAAAGAAGATTTCTGCATAGTAGATGAGCAAATGATGCTTAACATTGTTAATTACTATGGCAATGCAAATTAAAACTACAATGAGGTACCACTGTACACCAATTAGAATGGCTAAACATTTTTTTTTTTTTTAAAGAACCTACAAATTGATAATACCTAGTGTCAACGAAAATGCAGAGTAACTAGACCAGACCTGCATTGTTGTTGGGAATGTAAAAATTATAGCCATTGGAAAACAGGCAGTTTCTCTAAAGTTAAAAATATTACCATGTAACTCAGCCATACCTCTCCTATGTATTTACTCAAGTGAAATGGAAACTTATATTCACACAGAAACTTATACAGATGTTTATAGCAGCTTTATTTATAATTGCCAAAAATAGTAAAGAACCCCTAAAGAGCCCTCAACTGATGAATGGATTTGAAACAACCACCAATTTTTGGTACATCCATATAATGGAATGCTGCTCAGCAATAAAAAATTACTGATATAACAACATGGATGAATCTCAAAGGCATTAAGCTACCTGAAAGAAGCTAGACAGAAAATGCTACATATTAAAGGATTCTATTTATTTGTCATGTGGAACAGGCGAAACTCTAAGGATAGAGAATAGAAGTGGTTGCCTGGGTCTAGAGGTGGTGGGAGGGGTTTGTTACTGAGGAGCACAGGGGAATCTTTTGTAGTGATGGAACTGTTTTCTCCCTTGTTTTTTGTAGTGTTGACACATTTCTCCAAACTCACCTGTACTCTAGAAAGGGTGAATTTTATTGTATGCAAATTATACCATAATTTTTAAAGAAGTTAAAAATTCGAATCTTGACCCTTACATCACACTGTACATAAAGAGTATCTCAAAATGATTCATCGACCTAAACATAAAAGCTAAAACTTTTAGAAGAAAACAGGTGAATATATTAAGTGACAGGATACTAAAAGCACTTATTATAAAAGAAAATATTGATAGTTCAAGTTAATCAAAGATTAAAACCTTATTAAACAAACTCAGAAACAGTAGAATGGTTGTTGCCAGGGTCTTGGGGAAGGAAGAAATGGGGCATTGTTCAACAGATAAAAGGTTTCAGTTATGCAAGATGAATAAGTTCTCGAGATCTGTACAACATAGTGCACAGAGTTACCAATACTGTATTGTACAGTTTAAGTGGTAGCTCTCATGTTAAGTGCTCTTACCATAATAAAATTAATTAAAACTTCTATTTAAAGACACTGGAAAATGAAAAAGCAAGCCGTCAGACTGGAAGAAGACATTCACAATACATACATCTGACAAAAAATGTCCAGAATACATAAAAAACAAAATACATAAAAAAAACCTCTTACAACCCAGTAAGACAGCTAACAACCCACTTTTTTTTAAGGGCAAAAAACTTGAACAAACTTCACAAGAGAAGCTAAAAGAATAGCCTATAAATCTAGAAAAAGGTGCCCTTCAGCATTTGTTATTAAGGAATGCAAATTAAACCACAATGAGATACCACTATATCTGCCTAGAATGGCCTAAATTAAGACGACTGAAAAGATCATATGGTCACAAGGATATAAAGCAAAAATCGAATGTGGGTTCATTACTGATGATAATGTAAAATGGTACATGCACTTATCTCTGACCCAGTAATTCCACTCCAAATATTTAACTTAGAGAAATGACAACATATGTCCATAAAAGACTTGTATACAAATGTTCAGAGCAGGTTTATTCACAATAGTCCCTAACTGGAAACAACCCAGATGTCTATCAGTAGGCGAATGGATAAATGTATTGTGATATATTCATGCAATTCAAAGAAAAGGAATGAACTACTCGTGTATACGACAGCATGGTGTACCTCAAAAGAATACGGATTGTATGATTAAATTCATGTGAAATTCTGGAACAGGCAAACCTAAATGTTAGTGACATTAGCCTTATCAGTGGTTGTCTAGGGCCAGAGATGAGATGAAAAAGAGATTGACTTCAGAGGGGCATGAGAAACCTTTTGTTGTGATGGAAATGTTCTGTAAGTTGGTTGGGATTGTGATTATATTGGTGTATACATTTATCAAAAATGTGTACACATGGACCTACCTGTACACTTAACGATGTATTTTCTTACATGTAAATTATACCCTAATAAAATTCATTATTAAAGTTTAAAAAGATTTTAAAATAATGTTAAAATTGGATCTTAAAACAATCTAATTCCTATATCTAATAACAGCCATCATAAATAATAATTACTTTTGAATCAGTATTCTAACTATATCCACTTAGTGGGATATGATCTTGGGACTGTGAAGAAATACTGACCTTTATTTAGATTTACTTAGAATTGTTTTTGGTAGAGGTTGTGTTATAGTATTTTCAAATAGAACTAAAGAGTAAATTTATTAATGTAGTTGTGAACTAGCATTCCAACTGTAAGAAAAGGGAGATACACATGTGAAATGGGGGAAGATGAGGAATAATTGGATTTGAATTAGAGTTGTCAGTTTGAACTCATGTTTTTAAAAAGACATGTATTTTCTTAGCTTTGTCTTCCAAAGGGGTCTAGAAGCAATGACACGCTAGGCATTGAACATACCTGACACCCAGATCTTGGTTTCTAAATGCCATTGCCAACTAAATGGGCTCCTAGTAGAAATGGTTGACTTCAGGTCTGGTGCAGGGAAAATATCAAGGTGAGCCTGAAACATCTTGTGCTCTAAGGTAAGGATATGTTTGAGCACCAAGGAGGACATGTCAAAAAGAGACAGGACTGAAAGGGCAAATTAAACATCAAGAATCTACAGTGATAAATTTTTTAAAAGTATAATATATATATTTCTGAATAAAATATATAAGTATATATAATATACATATAAGAGAAAAAGCAAAAGAAGGAAAGCTCATTTTTATTTTACAGAAGAATGCTAACTTTAAAATATTGACGTGATGATGTCATTAGCAGCCTAACATTTCCAGTCCTCAGTGCAACAATTGAATTAAAGATCACAACTGAATGATGTCGAAAACCATTGGCTGTTGGGAACAAGATATTTACACAGTTTTAAATACCTCAAAATTGCATACTAATTTCAAAGAAAAAATAACTACATGGAGAGATCTAACAAAGTACCTTAACCACCTCAAGTTGAACATCACCAATAATGAGAAACTGACATTGTGTGCATCTTCATGTGATGGGACAAGAAATATAAAACATCACTATATACTTCTCATGAGGTAGCAATCAGGTAAATCCAGAATTTGGGATAGCCTACTATTCAAGAAGATTGTCATGAAATCAAGAAGAGATCTGGGATTAAGGCCAGAGTGAGGGCACTGTTCTAAATTTAAAGAAACATAACCAAAAGCAGTTCTTGAATTTGATTGGATCATACATTGAAAGCTTTAAAAGTCCCATTTTGTCAATAATTGGGGGAAATTGGAATATGAGCTCTGTATTACATGCTTTAACTGACTTAAAGTTCTTTAAGTCTAATAACAATGTTTGGTTTACATAGGAGAATGTCCTGTTCCTAGGACATACAACTGAAGTATTTAAGAACAAAGTGTCATGATGTCCGCAAGTTATTTTCAAGTGGTTTAGTAAAAAAAGAAAAGTGTATATATGTATATGGAGAGAAAGACAAAACAAATGTAACAAAATGTTAACTGTTGAATCTTAAGTGACAGGTATATACTTTTTATTATACTATTCAGTATACTATTTCAGTGTTTTCTCTGGGTTTAAAATATTCAAAATAAAAAAGAGAAGAGAACATCTTGTTCTGAATGACTTTCAATGTATAAACTTGAAATTTTCTAGGTGAGTTTTTGGGAAATAATGTTAATGATCAATTTATTTGAACTATCTGAATGTTAGGATTGGAGGGACCTTAGAGATGATCTTGTTTAGTCCGTTATTCATACAGAGGAGGAAATTAGTCCTACAATAATTGAGTCACTTATTGAAATCAAACTGTAGGCCAGTAGTAGAGCTTGGATAATGAATTCAGCTCTTCTGATTTCCAGGATAGTGTTCTTCTTACTGTATCATGTTTTATCTCTCCCAGTAAAAGGACTTTGGGAGGTAAAAATTGAATTAAGGAAAATACTATGTATCATTTTTCTTCCTAGAATATCTTCAATATATTTCCCCCATTTTGGCAGTATTGTCAGACTTGATCTATTATTAGTCTATAGGTCGGGAATTTAGTCAAAAGACTTCTAATTTTGATAATTGCTCTCCTAGAAATTTTTTGAGAGCTATTTGTTTGGGCTATGTGTTTTTGATCACTTATTTTTATTTTCCTCTAGTTTAAGCTATGAAGAAGGACATCCCTCACACTCTGAAACAGATCTCCTTCAGAGACAGACTTTTGCAGCCTCTCATCAGCTTCCTGGATATCCTACCACACCTCAGCCAACTGGTAAAAATTCTCTCGTGAAATATAAAATGAATCTGTACATTTAGTGAATAAGGAAAAAAATCAGTTTTTACATGTTGGGTTATGAATGTGTGTGGGGGACAGAACAGTGCCATGGAAATTTTAACATGAAAATAAAAGCTTTGTCTTCTTTTTTAACTTTGTCTTTTTTTGATAGAGAATATCCATATAATTAATTGGGAGATCTTTTTTCATGTATCTCTATAAATTTTAAATGATAACAATGGTTAAATTAATATTTATTTGCTATTTCAAAACAAAACAGTTTAGAGTTGTAGAACTTTTGGCCTCAAATTTCAGAGATTCTTTTTTATTTATTTTTTTATTTTTTTTTCAGAGATTGATTTTAAAAATAGGATCAGGACTATCATTTTATATTAATAATATTTTTACTTTGGGATATATTTTATCTTCAAATGTAGGTCTTTCTGGAATATTTGATACTAGTGTGAACAGTGCCAGCACTAACACTAAAGAATCTTCAGTGATGAATTTTCTCTCTACTGTTGAATCTCGAACTGCTCAGGCTGCTTCTTCAGGAACTACTCTTTTACCACAATTCAGGGCTCCATCCTGGCAGACAGGTGATTTTTTTTTTTTTTTCAAAATTGTTAAATCTTATAAAAATACACTATGTATGGCTTTGTCATTATGGTAGCGTGGCTGAAAGTGAAGTTAATTATTGATTTTCCAGTGGACCTTGAAACCTGGAATTTTTCACAATTTTAAGGCAGACAAAAATCAAGAAATTGTTACCAGCAGAAATTTAGTTGTAACACTCTAATAAAAACAAACAAGTTGAAGATGATGATTATTAAAGATAAACCTTAGATGTAAAGTTTATATCTGAGATTTAAGTATATAGCTGACCCTTGAAAAATGGGAGGTGTTAGTGGCATGTTGACCTCCTGTGCATTTGAAAATTCACATATAACTTTTGACTCCCCAAAAGCATAACTAGTGATAGCTTACTATTGACTGGAAACCTTACCAATAAACAGACAATTCACACATTTTATATGTTCTATGTAATATGTACTGTATTCCTTTTTTTTTCACAGATTGCAAGGACCTGTCAGCTACAATCCCTTATTTTTTATATTTTATGCCTACAGCACCTGATCTTCCTAGGTGGTCTCCCATCCAAGTACTAACCAGGCCTGACCCTGCTTAGCTTCCGAGATCAGATGGGATCAGGCTTGTTCAGGTTGGCATGGCCGTAGACTTGTACTGTATTCTTAAAGCAGGCTAGAGAAACGATGTTATTAAGAAAGTCATATGGAAGAGAAAATACATTTGTAGCATTTGAAGAAAAATCCTTATATAAGTAAACCCGCACAGTTCAAACCAGCGTTGTTCAGGGATCAACTAACTGTAGCTACTTGTCTACTTGAGAGGAGCAAAGATTAAATTTCTTTTATTTTTGACTCCATTTCAGTTCTATTGAATATAAAATTATAAGATATTTAAAGTATAAATTATAGTAATTTATGTTTACATTGTGAAAGAATCCCCTGCCCCTATCTAGTTAATTTACACATCCATCATTTTACATATTTATCTTTTTTGTGTTGTTTGTTTTTGACAAAAGATTAAATTTCACTTAGTGACTTCAGGCTGAAAAACAATCTTAGGACCGATTTCATTGTTAGAGTTATGTAAAGTTATCCTTAATTGAACAGATTAAATCAGTATTTAATAGAAGTCATTAGAAGTTGATATTATATTGTGCCTGTTTATATGCACTTTTTAATTTTTATTTCATTTTTCAACTTTCTCCCCCAAATTATTTCTATATATAGTTATTTTTTACGGGATGACAGGTTTTTAAGGTTTTGTTTTAAAGAATAAGAACTGTCATAGTATATTTGAGAAGATAATAATAACTACAGGAAATGATATTTTTTCATTCTGGTGTAAATTCCATCAATAGAGCTTCTCAATATTCCAAATTGCAAATTTTTTTTTTTTTCTTCCAAGGAGATAATTAATGTTTTAGTGTGAAACAAAACAATATTAAAAAAACATAATAGCTTCATTTTTTGTTTCCTGGAATAATTTTACATTATACATTGTTAGACTTTCTATTCTAATTCCTATGATTATATTATTTTAAACATTAATTCTAAGTGTTATTTATTCTTTCAAGTATAACTAGATATTTTCTTTCCTTGTACTAGTAGTTCTCTTGGCATTTACACATCTATCACTTTACATTTTTGTAAATGGAAAGTGAGAGAAGAATGTTTTTGAAAGGACCAGAGAATCTTTTTTTTTTCCCCTCAATTTTTCAAAATGAAAAAAAAAAATTTTAATGGAAGCCCACTAAATGATAAAAAGGTGTACAAATGGAAAGCGATAGTTCCTAACTACAGTCCCACTTTTTAATTTTTTTTTTTTTTTTTATGCCTACAGCACCTGGTCTTCCTAGGTGGTCTCCCATCCAAGTACTAACCAGGCCCGACCCTGCTTAGCTTCCGAGATCAGACATCGGGCTTGTTCATGGTGGCATGGTCGTAGAACATGGACCATGGCTCCACTGGGGCACAAACCCACAGTTCCACTATTTAGAGAAGAGTTAACAGTTTGGTGTTTACTCTTCTTTGATGTCTGTATATCAAAACATGTATATTCACCTGATCAGTGTTTATAGCAACAGTGTTATTAGGGTATGCCATCATTATTTGATCAATCCCTTGTTGATGGACATTTCTACTTATACAAAATAACTATAATAAATGTCTTGCATAATAACTTTATGTCCACTTATTTCCATATGATAAATTTCTAGAAGTGGAATTTATAGATCACAAAGGTATACATGTTTTTACTTTATATAGCTAGAATGCTGTCCTGAAATGTTCATCTCTTCTTGACAGTACTTTTATGATAAGCATGCATCTGTTGTTATTAATTGTTCATAGGAAGTCAAAACTTGAAATGCAAGAGATTTTATAAATGCATACATTTTGATAAAAGAAACTTTGCAGCGTTAGCCTCACCGTTACTTTTGAGATTTATTTATTATGTTAAATGTAGACAATTCAGTTTCAATTTTAATGTTATGAACATTTTAATTTTCCCATTGGCATTTTACATTGGGGCTTCCAGCTAAATTAATCACTAGAGATAATGCACATTTTTTATTGGTTTCTTAATTTTCAATGGCCTTATCTAACTATATATAAACTCATATTTACATAACAATTATAGGTATAGATTTTTGGTACCAATGTAACTTTGTTTTTGCTTTAAGAAAGCTAGCTATTTTGAAGTGTAAGTTTCACAATAAAGATGCAGAATTTGTCAGACTTTTCAGTCTTGTAGAGTTTTTGATGGGTTGAAGGATATATAAGTTATTTAAGTTTCTACTATATAAACATACATATTTGTGCTATATTTGCATAAACTTTTCTTTTCACAGGTATGCATTCCTCAGCAGCAACTGAGCTGTTTGTTACTGGACCTTTGCCAACCACTGGAACACTTCCACCCTCTGCCCTCTCTGCTTATCAGCATCCCACCTCCTTCAGCAATAGAAATTTTGCTACCACCTCACCTTTGGTGCTTCAGGATTCAACTTTTAACACTACATCAAATGGAATTTTAAATCCTCATGACCCTTTGCTACAAATCAAGACTTCCCAGGGAACTGTTCCAACTGCTTTGGCATTTGAGCGCCTGGGCTCCTCTGCATTGAGTAACAGCGTACCACCTCAGTCTTCAACATATCGCTCTGCTCAAGAGTCTGCACCACATCTTTTACAACCTCAGTTTAGTTTGTTGCCTTCAACACTTGGGGGAGCCCAGCAAACTCCTCAAGCCTACAGTTCAACTCTCTTTCCTAGTTCTACTGCTTCCATTGAAAGAGCTCTTCTTAGAGAATGTAGTGTTATTAAACACCATCAGCGGCCTTCAGGTACCCAGTCTATTCAGGCACAACTGACTGGTTCACAGCATTCCTTACATAGTTATCTATCAAATGCAAATGTAGTTAATTTTCAGGAAACAAGCAGACAGTCATCTTTATCCTGTAGCCCAGTTGGAGAGTCTACTCAGGTGAGCAATGGAGGATTGCAGCAAAAGACCTCTCAGGTCTTAGTAGAACTTGCTCAGTCTTATTCGTCTGCAATTCCATCATCAGGGTATCCTCCTTCCACTACAAAAGTACAGAGCTGTTCTACAAAACAACCACTAACGTCAACTAAGACCCCCAAACCTCAAAGTATAATTCCTCCTGTGCAAACACTAAGCTATTCCAAACCTTCACATAACCAGAGTTCTGTAATATCGGGCCAAGCACAAATTTATTCTACAGCGCAACTACCAAGCCTTTTATCAGTTAGTCAGTCCCAAAATTACGGTTTAGTACAGCCACATAATGTGCCATCCATTGTTCATTCACAGGTTTATAGGCCCAGCAAAGTTGAGAAGTTGCCATCCTTATATAAAACTTTGTCTTTTTCTGAGTCATCTCAGACTATAACTTCTGAAAATCAGACACTTAATTATTCTTCTGATCAGCAAGAGGTATTATCTTCAGTTACAAATGAGAATTACCCTGCTCAAACAAGAGATCTGTCTTCAGTTAGCCAGTCTCAAAGTTATTCATCTGGTCATTCTCAGGGTTTATCACCAGTTAGCCAGACGCAGGTTAGTTATTCATCTCAATCACAAGTTTTGTCAGTTGTTAGTCCTTCAGAAAGCTATGCTTCAGGGCAGTCCCTAACATTAACAGCCCCTTCTCTTTCTTATTCTTCCACCTCTCGGGCTCAGAGTTTGCCAGATTCTAGCCCAACCCAGAATTATATTTCTATGCATTCTTCCCAAAATGCTCAGGCTCAAGGGTCATCATCTCCCCAGTCCCAAAAGTTTTTGCCTGCCGTCCAATCATCTTTTGCGTCCTCCACTCATTGTCAGACATTACAGAATAATATGCCTTCCCCTGATCCAAAGTCTTATGCTGAAAGAAAACTTGACTCAAATGTGTATACATCTTCGAAGCAAGAAGATGATTTTCCAATGCAAGAGTTACAGGTATTACAGCCACAAGTATCTCTTGAGTCATCAACCCAAAGGCTATCTGATGGGGAAATTAATGTTCAAGAATCAGCCTATAAGGTGTCAAAGGCAGATGACAGATATTCTCAGAGTGTAATCAGAAGTAATTCCCGTATTGAAGATCAAGTTGTTGGGATTGCTCTACAAGGATCAAAAAAAGAAGAAAGTATGGTTGGTTCAGTGACACAGCTGAACCAACAAATTGGCCAAGTCAGTAATGCAGCAACCCTTGATATTAAGAAGGCAACTAATTTAATGCAAAGTCCACAAATAAGTTTGAATACTAAAGACCTAAACCAGCAGCATTCTCTTATACATAAGGTACATGAAGCCAAGGTTCAGGAGCAGCGTGATCAAATAATTAATGCCTCGTCTCAGATTCAAATTCCAAATCATGCTTTAGGGCATGGCCATCAGGCATCTCTTCCGAATACACAGATCCTTTTAGATTCTGCCTGTGATTTACAGATTCTTCAGCAGTCAATATTGCAGGCAGGCTTAGGACAAGTAAAGGCATCTTTACAAGTACAGCGTGTACCAAGTCCTCAACATATAGTACATCCTTTTCTTCAAATGGATGGTCATATTATTCAGAGCAATGGTGATCATTCTCAGCAGCAACTCCATACTCAAAATACTGAAATTTTGAAAATGGACCTCTCCGAATCTTCAAAACCTTTACAACAACATCTAACAACAAAGGCGCATTTTAATGAAACAAATCAACATGATTCAAAGAATCATTTTGTTTCACTTGGATCAATATGTTTCCCAGAGGCAATGCTGCTCAGTGATGAAAGAAATATTTTATCAAATGTAGATGATATCTTAGCAGCTACAGCAGCAGCTTGTGGGGTTACACCTTCTGATTTTCCCAAGTCAACTTCAAATGAAACCATTCCGGCTGTTGAAGATGGTGATTCTAAATCTCATTTTCAGCAGTCATTGGATGTTGGGCATGTGACTTCGGATTTTAATTCCATAACAGCTACAGTAGGAAAGCCACAGAATATAAATGATATTTCCTTAAATGGAAGTCAGGTTACTGTAAACCTTTCACCAGTACCTACTCTTCAGTCAAAAATGACTCATGATCAACAGCACATTGAAACACCTGGTCAAAATAAAGCATCTAAACTAACTTCACCAGTGGTTGGACCAAGTCATGAAGTCCAGGAGCAAAGTTCTAGCTCATTCAAGAAACAGTCTTCTACCAATCATGAATCTGAAGATGATAGCGAAGTTCCTGTTGAGAGTACATTAAATAATAACAGAAACCAAGAATTTGTTTCTAGTAGTAGAAGTATAAGTGGAGAGAGTGCTACATCAGAGAGTGAATTCACCTTAGGGGGTGATGACAATGCTGTGTCAGTGAACCCAACTAGGAGTGCACTTGCACTGCTGGCCATTGCCCAACCAGGGGAGGCAATCAGTGTCAAGATTGAAGAAGAAAACCAAGATTTAATGCATTTTAACCTTCAGAAGAAAAAAACTAAAGGGAAAGGGCAAACTAAAGAGGAAGACAGCAGTAATCAGAAACAGCCGAAAAGACCTGCCCAAGGCAAACGCCAGAATCCAAGGGGAACAGATATATATTTGCCATATACCCCTCCTTCCTCAGAAGGCTGCCATGATGGTTATCAGCATCAAGAAAAAATGAGACAGAAGATCAAAGAAGTAGAGGAAAAACAGCCAGAAGTCAAGACAGGATTCATTGCCTCTTTCTTAGATTTTCTGAAATCTGGGCCCAAACAGCAGTTTTCTACTCTCGCTGTACGAATGCCTAACAGGACTAGACGACCGGGGACCCAGATTGTCCGTACATTTTGTCCCCCACCACTTCCAAAGACTGCATCTGCAACACCTACGGCTCCGGTGTCTGAAACTGGCGGTAACAGTCTATCAGAAAAACTTGATAACGAACTTAAAAACTTAGAACATTTATCTTCATTTTCTTCTGATGATGAAGAACCTGGAGTACGCAGTCATATTTATAAAAGCACCTCTACTACCTTAACTACATTGGATGCTACTTCTGATAAAAAAAAGAAAACAGGTAAAGTTTTAACATTTAGATTCATAATTATGGCTTTCCACTTATTTTCTGGCTATAAGACTAGTTTTTATGCTTTCTTTGCTTGAAGCAGGTCTGCAAATAAATTTTCAGGACAAAATGCATTGGTAGGTATCTCAGGGACTTTTGTAAATGTTTCTTGCCTATAGGAAAGTTCTGGGTTTTAGGTCGAATTGTCTGTTTCTTCTTGGCTTTTTACCATATGCAACATAACTGACATGGTACGCTATCCAGACTTCTCTAACCTGAGACTTATGGATAAGAGGCATTGTATTGAAGGCTCTGTTGTATTTTCTTGGTATGCCAATTTTACCTGAAGGTTAATGTTTTACTAGTAAGTATGGTTACATTGTGTGCAGCATGCATATTAGTATTAGATAAAATTTCTAAATTTTCTGCTGGCTCTATTTTGCAGTTAGGGGACATTTAGAGGAACTGTTTAAAGAAGCACTGCCTTATGTAAACAATTGACAAGTATAAACGTTACTGTTTTAAAGAATATGCTAAGGAAAAATAAAACAGTAAAATAGCTACTACCTCTGTGCTAGGAACTAATAGCAATGTTGGGAGATACACATTGTTATCTCCAATAATATACAGATGATTGAGAGGAAATGAATTGCCCAGGTCCATACTGCTAGTAAGTGGCAGAGCTGGAATCTGCACTCAAGATTGTCTGATTCTAGAGCCTGTATTCCTGCTTAGCTCTTTTGTATAAATAGAGTGTTGATATGAGTTAAACTTTGTTTTGTGACACTTAGTTATACTTTGAAGACCATCTTCAAAGTCACTTTGTGGAAATTACTCCAGGCAGAATTAGTGCTCATATCTTCTAAATTCTCACAGCCCTTAAGTATCTCTGGAGGGCAAACATTGTAACGAGGTTTAATTTATCCATGTTTCCTTTTATGACATGCTTTTTGTGTCCTAAGAAAATTTGCCTAACCCATGGTCACAAAAATATTCTCCTGTTTTCTTCTAGAAGTTTGAAAGTTGTGCATTTTACATTTAGGTCTGTGATCTCTTTTGATTTTATTTTTGTATAAGATATGAGATATGGGTCGAAGTTAATATTTTTGTGTATAGAAGTCTAGCTTTTCCGGTACCATTTGTTGAAAAGGCAGTCCTTTCTCCATTAATTGCCCTTGCACCTCTGTCAAAAATCAATTGACCATATTTGTATGCATCTATTCCTGGACTCAGTACTGTTACATTGATCTGTGTGTTTATGCTTTCACCAATCCCACACTGTCTTAATTGCTGTAGCTTTAAGTAAGTCTTGAAATAAGGTAGTCTGAGTCCAACAAATTTGTCTTTTTCAAAATTGTTTTGCCTGATTTAGTTCTTTTCCTTTTCCCTATAAATTTTCAGATCAGCTGTTGGTATCTATAAAAATTCCTACTGAGATTTTGATTTTCTTGAATCTATAGCAGTTTGAGGAAAGATGACCTGTTAACAATATATTGAGTCTTAGCAATTCATGAACACTGATTTTTTTTCCCTAGTCTGTTTTGTAGTTTTTGGCATATAGATCCTGCACATGCTTTGTTAGGTTTATTCCTGAATATTTTTTTGGTGCTATTTATTGTAAATGACACTTTTAAAAGTTTTCAAATTCCAATTATTCATTGGTAGATTATAAAATACAGCATTGGTAGATTATAAAATACAGTTGATTTTTATATGTTGATCTTAAATCCTGCAAATCTGCACACCACTTATTCTAGGATTTTTTTTCCTTTCAGATTCCATAGGATTTTCTATGTAGAAAAAGATGTCATTTGCAAATGAGGATAGTTCCCCCGCCCCCAATTTTATGCCTTTTTCATTCTTGTCTAAATACACAGGCTGGGATTTCCTCTACAATATTTAATAAGAGTGATGAGTGTGGACATCCTGATGATGTTCTTGATCTGGGGGGAAAGAAATCTTTCACCACTAAGTATGATGGTTAACTATAGGTTTTTTTAATAGATGCCTTTTATCACATTAAAGAAGTTCCTCATATTTCTTAGTTTGCTGACAGTTATTATAATGAATGGAGATTGAATTTTGTCAAATGCTTTGTCTTCATCTGTTGAAATGATCATGTAGTTTTCTTAGTCTGTCAATATGGTGAATTACATTGATGGATTCCAAAATATATTCATGGCCTTGTACTTCTAGGATAAAACCCACTGACTTTGATATATTATTTTTTATGCATTGATGGATTAGATTTTCTTTTTTTGCATCTGTGTTCACAATGGATTTTAGTCTGTAGTTTTCTTTGTCTGGTTTTGGATCTGGTTATTGCTGACCTCATAAATGAGTTGGAGAGAGTTCCCTTCTTTTGCATTTCCTGTAAGAATTAGGTAGTATTTCTTCCACAAATGTGTGGTTGAATTTTGCTAGTAAATCCATCTGGACCTGGAATTTTCTTTGTCAGAAAGTTTTTAACTATGAATTCAATTTCTTTCATGTGGACGTATTCAACTTGTCTGTTTCTTCTCGATTGTGTTTTGGTATTTCGTACCTTTGAAGGAGTTGCTCCATCTCACCTAAGTTGTCAATTGATAGGAATGAATTGTCCGATATCAATATGGCCACTCCAGGTTTCCTTTACTAAGTATTTGTGTGGTCTATCTTTCCCGATCCTTATACTTTTAAACTATCTGTGACATTGTATTTAATATGGGTATTTTGTAGACAGTATATAGTTTAATCTTTAAAAAAAAAAAACAAAACAACTAATTTTACAATCTCTCAATTGGTATGATTAGACCATTTACATTTAATGTAATTTTTGATATGGTTAGATCTTCCATTTTATTGTTTTATGTTTATCCCCTCTATTTTCATTCTTGTTTCTTTTTTCCTACCTTTAAAAAAGTTATTTGAACTTTTAGTATTTTAAATTTCTCTCTGCTTTTTGGGCTGTGTCTTTTCGTATTGTTTTTAGTGGTTGACCTAGTGATTACAGTCCACTTAGAGTTGATATTTTTATTATTTCAGGTATAATGTAGAAGCCTAACAACCATACAGGTCCCTTTACCCCGACCCTTACTTATATTTGTCCTATATATTATATCTACATATATTGAAAACCCTGATAGAGTAGTAATTTTGGCTTTCAACAGTAATATATATTTTAAATAACTTATGAGGAGAAAAATAGTCTGTTATATTTACCCAGATATTTATAATTTGTGTTACATTTCTTTTATTTCTGATGTTCCAAGTTTTCTTCTGGTATCATTTTTCTTCAGCCCAAAGAACTTTTCCTTTTTCAAGAGTTTTTCTTTGATATTCAGCAATGTAATTATTTGTCTGGGTAAGGTTTATACTGTTTGGAGTTCACTGAGCTTCTTGAATCTGAAATATATGTCTTTTACCAAATTTCAGAAGTTTGGGTGGAACTTCAAAGACACAGATGTAAAACCTTTTGATATTAGTCCTCAGGTTCCTGAAGTTCTGTTCATTTTCTTCAGTCTTCCCCCGCGCCCTCCGCCATTCTTCAGATTGTATAATTTCTATTCCTCTATCTTCAAGTTTATTGACTTTTTGGCCTTCTCAATTCTGCTATTGAGCCCATCCAGTGAATTTTTTATTTCAGATATTTTTTTCAATTTTAAAATTTGTATTTGGTTCTTTCTTCTAGTTTCTATTTCTCTACTGAGAACTTACATATTTTTATTAATTTCAAAAATATGTTTACCTTACCTCATAGAGCATGGTTAAGAGTTGCTTTCAAGTTTTTGTCTGATAATTCCAGCATCTGAGTCATCTTAGAGTGGTTACCTTTTACCTTTGAGAATTGGTCACCTTTTTCTGGTTCTTTGCATATTGAGCAATTTTGGATTGTATCCTGGACATTTTCAGTACCTGAATTCTATTAAAATCCTCTGGAGAATGTTGATTTGTTTTGTTTTAGCAGGCAGTCAGACCAGGAATCTGTTGTCACCTTTCAAGTGGTGGTTCCAATGCTAGTTCATCCTGCTGCTATGGATCTGTTTTCAGTGGTTAGTCTGGAACTTGTGTAAATGGTAGACTTTGTTATACTTTATATTGCAAAGCCTTTGCTATGCTAGTTTGGGTCTATTCTCTTATGTGCAGCTTAGTCATGAAACTGGGATTTCTGTAGGTTCATTCACAAAATGAGAGGATACCATTCTCTAGCTCTCTCCTCTTTGGGAATTTCCCCCACACCACCCAGATGTCAGGGTTTCCAAGCTCTAGTGGGCTTAGTTCATCTTGGCACCAGAAGGCTTTCATAAATTTTTAAAAATTCACTGTCTTATCAATTCTACTTATTATTTCTGATGCTCAAATTGTCCTGTAATGGGCCAATAGAACCCCTTCAATGTTTTGGGGTTTTGGTTGTGATTACATTGAATCCATAATTAATTTTAAGGGATTATATCTTTATTATCTTCTCATCCACTTGTGGAATATAATGTTTTTCTACTTATACCTTATTTTTATATCTTTACCATTATATCATTTTTTTCCACATAGACATATATTATAGTTTAGCAGTTTTTATAATATTTTTTTCCACACTGTTTTCTGATTGGTTACTAATGGTTTATTGGCAGTGATTGATTTTCCTACCTCCATCTTATATTTGGCATTTTTGTTGAATTTTTATTTTAACAGTTTTCTACTTGATTCTCCTGTATTTTTAGGTAGATGTGATTACATATATATTTTTAAATAATGGTAGTTTTATCTTACTCTTTTTTGTTGTTTAGCAGTAGCACTGATGGCAAGCATTCTGGATTTTTATAAAAGTTAACAGTGGGTACTGAATTTTGTCAGATGCTCTTTTGAACATATTCTGATAAATCTGCTTTTCTCCCCACATTAATCTGTTGTTTGGTTTCCTAATGCTGAACCTGTTTTGAGGTTCTTAAAATTCAATACTCAACAAAATTTAACTGGTAATTAAAAAAAATATATTTTTGTTGGGTGCTTTTTTGAGCTTCTGATAAATGAGCTTC